CATTGGCAGGCAGATTCTTAACCGCTGGACCACCAGGGAAGTCTGGGGGTCGCATCCCTTCTGGGACTTTCATTTTTGCATGCCTACCTAGAGTTCAGAGACATCTATTCCACTCTCTTCTTTACATTTGCTGCCTCTCTCAGTTTTCATGTATTTTTTCTCGTGGAGGACTCTCTATTTCCCTGAGAGTAGGGTAGGCAGGTGGTACTGTCCCATTTTATAATTGTGAGTGCTGTAGTGAGAGAGGTTAACGACTTGCCCAAAATGCAGAGGAGACTTTAGAGCTGGTACTTCCATCTTAAAAATTTGAATTCAGTTCCATCAGCTGAATTCATGGTAGTGCTTTTTTTTTCTTAGAAGAAAAATCTTTAAGAAAGATATAACCTAGTGACAGAGAACAGCTGTACAGTGTATGTGTGTATGTATATATTATATATGCACACACATGCATACTGTAATTCTGGTGGTAGATACATAGCTTTGCCTGAATGTTGTAGCTCTTTTTCCATGTCTACCTGATAGATGATAATACCTCATGAAGAATGCCTTTTGGTAAATTGGAAAATAGCATCCTTGAAAGGGACCTAGAAGAAACCCCTTTATGGAAAGACTCTGCTTTACATTTCATGGCAAATATATGGGGAAACCGTGGCTGACTTTATTTTTCTGGGCTCTAAGATTGCTGCAGATGGTGATTGCAACCATGAAATTAAAAGGCACTTACTCCTTGGAGGGAAAGTTATGACCAGCCTAGACAGCATATTAAAAAGCAGAGACATTACTTTGCCAACAAAGGTCCGTCTAGTCAAGGCTGTGGTTTTTCCACTGGTCATGTATGGATGTGAGAGTTGGACTATAAAGAAAGCAGAGCACTTAAGAATTGATGCTTTTGAACTATGGTGTTGGAGAAGTCTCTTGAGAGTCCCTTGGACTGCAAGGAGATCCATCCAGTCCATCCTAAAGGAGATCAGTCCTGGGTGTTCATTGGAAGGACTGATGTTGAAGCTGAAACTCCAATACTTTGGCCACCTGATGCTAAGAGCTGACTCATTTGAAAAGACGGTGATGCTGGGAAAGACTGAGGGCAGGAGGAGAAGGGGATGACAGAGGATGAGATGGTTGGATGGCATCACCGACTCGATGGACATGGGTTTGGGTAAACTCCGGCAGTTGGTGATGGACAGGGAGGCCTGGTGTGCTGCGATTCATGGGGTCGCAAAGAGTCAGGCACGACTGAGCGACTGAACTGAACCTTTACATAATTCATAGACTTTCAGGGTTGAAACAGACAGGTCATCTGGCTCAACAGATGTTTGATGGTTAAATCCTTGATTAAATCTCATCTGAGTCCTTGAGTGCTATGGAATGATTTTGAGGAACAGTCCTTATTGTTACAAATGATCTTAATGATCTGAAGATTCTTCTGTGTTCTGTCAAACTAAGTGAAACGTTGATGCTTCAAAAGGATAAATTGTTTCTTTCTTGTGTCATCAAAGTTTTTGAAAAGTTCAATTTTTGAAACATTTTCCCTTAGACTATATTAGCTCTTATGAAAATTGCCTATTTAGACTTCTGTTTAATGCCATTGTTTAATGGCATGTGATTTTTAAAAATGTGACTAAATAATAATATTTTCTTTTTTCCGTGTTTCTCTGTTTTTATTTACAAGCTCGATGCCATTTCTCCTAGAATTATTAACCATTTTATGTAGGTTTGGTTTATGCAATGTGCACAGGGGTTCATGTGATTGCTTTTGGTTCTTTTGTGCTTTAGCCAGAGGTAGTAAAGAAGACAGGGAGGGTTTGAGATTAAATTTTAGTGAAAGCTGATGTAAGACGTATAATGAGCCTAAGGTACTTGAAAATCCAGTAGAGCTGGTGTTTCCCTCTTTGCCTTCAATAGAAACACCCTTAGTGATGGAGTCAGGTGCCTGTGCTGGAGCATCCGTTTGCAACTTGCACTTAAAAATTTTTATCTTGAGCCAGTATTTCTCATAATTTTTTTAAAGAGATCATATACTTACAGACTTGAGTCAGTGTACACAGCTCTAACTTCTGTCCTCGAAGCATGGGTCAGATAATATCATGGTCAGGAGAGACTTCGTGGGAAGCCTCAAAATTCATTAGTTTGTGTATTGTGGTTGCAGCCTTCCTAAGAGCATTACCTTAGCAAATAGAGCATCCATTATAAACTGCTGGGATAGCTTAGATTTTGGCTTTACAAATTTACAATGAAAGTTGAAATGAATTTTTTTTTTTTGCCTTTAAAGATTTACATAGTCTCTTTAGTTCCTATTTAAGTCTTTTCTATAGATGCAAATAGTTCTACAGAGAGAATTGAATAGAGGTGTGTGTTCTGTTGTAAATGTCTGCTCTGTTTATGGAACTTCTCTGCCACAAGTGGCTTAACTGGTTTCCTGAAGGGAGCAGAGAAAGAATAATCTCACAAGACTAAAAGATTAACATTTCTCCACAAAGTTTCTGGAAGTCTAAGACTAGGTGAGTGAGTGAGTGAGTGAAAGTTGCTCAGTCGTGTCCGGCTCTTTGTGACTCCATGGACTATATAGTCCATGGAATTCTCCAGGCCAGAATACTGGAGTGGGTAGCCATTCCCTTATCCAGGGGATCTCCCCAACCCAGGGATGGAACCCAGGTCTCCCATATTGCAAGCGGATTCTTTACCAGCTGAGCGACCAGGGAAGCCCAAGAGTACTGGAGTGGATAGCCTATCTCATCTCCAGTGGATCTTCCCAATGCAGGAATTGAACCGGGGTCTCCTTCATTGCAGGCAGATTCTTTACCAGCTGAGCTACCAGGGAAGCCAAGACCACATGAAACGCAGTAAAAATATGACTAAGTATTCTGCAGCTTGCCCATTTCCAAAGGGCTTTCACGTACAGAATTCTGGGTTTGTGAGTATGAGTGTTTTAAACCCTGGGAAGCAGCCATAATAGGTATTACTATCCCCATTTTAAAAATGAAGGGAGTGTCAGAAATTGAGAGAGTAGCATGAAAACATATACATTACCATATGTAAAATATGTAACATGTAACATATCTGAAATAGCAGTGGGAAGTTGCTGTATGTCACAGAGGGCTTGAAGGGATGCTCTGTGACAACCTTGAGGGGTGAGATGAGGTGGGAGGTGGGAGGGAAGTTCATGATGGAGGGACACGTACATACCTATGGCTGATTCTTGCTGATGTGTGGCAGAAACCAACACACTATTGCAAAGCAATTATCTTCCAATTAAAATTTTTTTTAAATTGAAGGGAGGCCAGTCTGGGTCATGGTAATGTTCCCATTGTCAATGTTAGGTAATGTTCCCAATGTCAGCTGATAGAGTGGCTCGGAGGCTGGAGCCCAGTTATTAGGAGTTGATGCTCATTGTACCATTCACTTTGTTTTTCTCAGATGTCTTCCCCTTGAGCCTAGAAACCATACATTTTCACCTTCTAGTTCAATTTCAAGTGGCAGCTGGGATCTAGTGGCGGATGGAAGGTCGAGAGGTCCTCAGGAGCAGAGCTGGTGGACAAGGCTTTGCATCATTTACTCATGGGTCCCTTAGTGTGACATTATTTTTCTTGAGCTACGTGTGTACTCCCTCTTGAGTTTTGCCTGTGCATTGAAATTCTTCCTCACGTTTCCTTGCTACTGCTTTCTTAACTTATTCTTCCTCATACTGGAGCCCATATTTGGCACAGTAACCCCAAGACCAAGTGAATGTGCACTCTTCTCTTGAGCAAAAAAATGAAAATTAAAATATTATATCTATATGTGGTCAATTGTAGGGGAAGAGTGACTTAAGAGGACTCTGCTCTCAGATATTGTCTATTTTCCAATTCATACTAAATCATCTTTTATTCCCTAGTTCATACTAAATCACACGCATTTCCCCATTGTCTTTAAACATCGTTTGAAAGTACTTTTCTTGACTCCTCAGCATTCAGTTGCTTGAATTTAGCATAATTTACTGATGAGTTTTTCTATTTTGGATAATGAGGCTATTTTCTAGTTTTCTCTGTGATAAAAATGATTGACTCCTTGAAGAAGGGAATTTTTAAATATTTAGAGAGTAAAAAATTTGGTTTAAATGGTTTGCCTTAGTCATTAATTCATTAGTACATTGTACCAGTAATTTCAGTCAGATAAACATTAATACATGATTATTTTTCTGAAGTAATAAAGTTGTGATAGTTTTAGTTTCAGATGGGGAAAATGCATAAAGATGGTCAATGAAAGGAAAAGACTTCACAATTATGTCATTAGGATCTATTTACTAGTTAAGCTTTTACTAGTGAGACCAGTTTATCCTTCATGTTGTACTACTTCTCTCTGGGTTTCTTATTTCCTATATATATTTTTTTCTCAGGTTCTACTCAACCCTCCCCCCCGCCCCCCCCCCGCCCCATTTTAGCATCTGCCAAGGCCCACAGTTCCTGGAGGGTCTCATTTGAGGGTCTCAATTTGAAAGTCTCAAATTGTCTTTGACATTTCCTTTTCCAGGTGTATTTGCTATTGAGAGTATTTGTAGATAAGCCAGTACCTTAATCTTATTTTTATTCTATTTGGTGAGCTTGACATGAATTCTGCTTCTGGGCAGATTTGAGAGAGAGGACCACGGGTAAAATTGGAGCTGGGAAGTCACATGAATTTTTTTTTTCTTTTTGAAGTACAGAGAAGGCTTTTGCCATTAGTGCAAAAGAATGTTTCTCCTTTTCCCAATCTATGATGGATAAAATGTGTGAGCATACAGGAATTTGACTTGTTACCTTGGATAAACTCAATATTCTTAGGATGAAGTCATACATAATTAATCACCTGTCTCTACATTCTTTCCAGAGTGATGGCACTTGGTATTCACACTCATGATAACTTTGGTTTCCTGAGTGCGAGAGCCCCAGGACTGCCAATTAAGGAAGAAGAGGCAGTGACAGTTACATAACCTTGGGGCTTCTGTAATGTGGTGGGTAATTGTCTTTTTCCTTCTTAACTTCTAGTGTCTGAAACAGTACATGCAGCTGGCAATCCGAGAAGGATGTGGGTCTCCCATCACTTGCCCGGACATGGTGTGCCTAAACCATGGGATCTTGCAGGAAGCTGAGGTATGGATGGGTGCCCTGATCTTCCCCGTTTTCCTGTTGACATGATTTCCTAGGATCTTGGCTCTTTATGTACATTTCTACCAGGGAGTCTAGAAACAAAATACAGGGGTTAACTTTTTAAAGGAGTGCTTTATTGCTACATACCTTGGATTCTTTATAGAGGCTGTTAAAGCTGTTATTTACTTTGGTTCTATTTATAAATGCCCCCTGAGTGTTGAATAAGTTCTAGAATAGGCCAAGGTGCTAGAAATCCAATTTGCCAAAGGTGAGCTTTGGAGGCTGAATAGTCAGTGGCCTGGGGATTTTTAATACTTCAAAGATAAACAGATGACTGATTAGCTGTAGTTATAGATAACATAAATTATTATGATTCTGCAGAGGTAGCCTGCGTTGAACCATTTCTAAAGAGCAGAGAAAGGCCTTTCATTCAGTGTTTATCAGGTATAGAAATGTGTTTTTTTGAGTGAGTTCTCACTGTGACGTGTCTCTTTGTTTTTTTAATCCTCATTTAATAGCTTGCCCTTAAATCAGCTTTTAGCTTTCAGGTTCTGCTCATTTTAAATCTTGTATACCTTCATGTAGTTGCTTTCTTAGCCAGTATACTATTTAATACATTCAATAGATTTATAAAACTGAAGCTCAGAGTGTCTAAATAACTTACTCAAGAGTGCATATCTAAAAGGCAAAAGAGTTAGAATTCCAATCCAGTTCTTTCTGACAGATTGCATGGCTTTCAAAGTAGAACTCAGTGGATAAATAGAGTGCAGAGTAAAGGTCTTGATAATTGAAAGTCCAATAGAATGCATAATGTGTGTAGGTATATATGTGTGGGTATATATGTACATGTCTCTGTATGAAAGTGTGTATCCATCCATGTACATACACACATGCTCTCTATATATGTACAGATGTGCTTTTACATATATATATATATACCTCTTTTGTAAGTAAAGCAGTCAGAAAGATGGTATAGACCCTTTTTAACCAGTCTGCATCTGGGTGCCCTGTGTGTACCTTATGAAATACCAAGTAAGTGATACAAGTGAGTGTGAAGTGATTTGAGGGGAAGAATAAAAGGAATACATATTGGTTTAGAAGTTGTTCATTTTAGGAAAGTCATGAAATAAATGGAATTTTTAAAACAAAGAGGTAGTATTGAATGGGTGAATCCTGTGGTGAGACATGTTAACTTTTGTGTGAAAAATAGGTAGGAGAAAATTAAGAGGGGGAAAGATTTGGTTATCTACCATGAATACTATTGATCTGTGCAACTTGGAAATGGTTTTTAAAAATGAGACCCAGGTTTGCAGGAGTGTCTTTCTAGACATGACCCTTCCAGCGAACATGCTTCCTTTTTGACTTGCTTTTGTGAGGTCTGATCAGTCAACAGATGTTTATTGAGTGTACAAGTGCCAGGCTCTTGCCCGGTCAAGATAGAGAGGTGAATAAGATAGTCCCAGTACTGTTCTCCTGGAGCTTCTGACTTCGAAGAGAGACATTGAACTGATAATGAGCCAGATAATTAATTATAAGAGTAAAAAGTGTGAGATGGAGCAGGCAGCAGGAACTGCGTCTGCCATGGAATCTTATTTAATTCTTGTGTGCAAAAGCTATTAAAACATAAATGAAGTGACCTTTTTAAACAAACCTTTGAAATTAATTACAATCTCTTTTCTAGATAAGCCTACATGTGGCTATTTGCAACTAATTAAAATTAGAAATTCATTCCTTTGGTTTCGCTGATCACATTTTAAGTACTTGGTCGCCACATGTGGCTAGTGGCTACCAGGTTGGACAGCACAGAATAGTACATTTCCCTCTTTGCAGAAAGGTCATTACATAGTGATGTTCTAGACTTTAAATGGATGGTAACCATTAGCCACTGAGCCTTTGGATATCAAATGTTAGGGCTAATGTGTATAGATGAGTGACAGGCCATGGTTTGTCCCAAAGATCTCTAGAGCAGAGTCTCACTTTTCTGATTTTCTTAGTACAGACATTCTCTGGTCGTCTTCCCCCATAGTTCTTCTCTCCTTCTTAATCTTGACTTTTCCCACTGTTCACATTCTCATTCACACTTCCCTAGTGCTGCTTCCATTTACCCAGTTTTACTTTAAAAACAGTTTTACTTTTAGGCTGCATTAAAAGCAAATAAACCCACAATGGCTCTTAAAAATGACAAAAGGATATCTGAAAAACAGAACAAAAACATACTCCAAACTAAACTATGGTATTTCTTATATTCTCCAAAGTGTGTTTCCCCTTAGATCAGTAGGAGACACTCTGGGGCATTAGAGGACCATTTCTGTACTCATTGGTCTTGCTAAGAGCCTGCCTGAAGATGGGCGTGAATTGCAGTAATCAACTCTTCTTAACCAACTTGCCACTATTTTTTTTCCCCAGAATAAAAAACAAATGCTGTGGTGGTGATTGTCTCTCATTTTTGAATTGAGAAATGAGTAGGTTATAATGGAGCTGTTGGTGGCTTCATCAGTTTATATGGGGTGACTCTTTTCAAAGCAAATACCTCATACATATGAGTTTGGGCTACACCGTCTCCCTGTCTGACTTGCTTGCCATCACACTTTTCTCATATACAGTTATTATAATACATAGTTCTTAATCTAGGTATTATTGAGTCTATCACAGTGGTACATCCAGATTGTGTTTCTCTGGATTCTGTCTCTGTGACTACTTTTCCTATCATTTTTTTTTAAACAAACATTTATTTCTATAGGTAACACATAAATATACTTTGCTTGTTAAGAATAATTCTGGTTAAGGCTGAGGTTCCCTTAGTGATGCTCCTGTTTGTATTATAATACACGATCCTTCACTTCTCATTTTCTTATAAAATGCATGGAAGTATAAAATTTTTCCTCTTCAAAGGACACCAGGAATTTAAGCTCTTTCCTCTGAACGCTTTCCTATGTAGGTCTAGCCCCCAGAGTGGACTCTGCTTCATATATTTGTCTCCTGCAAGCTTTACTGCTTCCAAATTGGTTCAGCCATGGCTCTTTCCCTTCACTTCAATTTATCGGGAGTAGCTTCATCAGCAAAGAATTCAGTGTCCAATCCAAAACCTGTTTGCTTATGTAAGAAACAGTGGAAAAGGCAGCTCCCCTTCAATGTCATGGAAGCTGATGGGAGGTAGTGACTGGAGAACTTGTGTCCTCGAGGTGCACCTACTGGGAGCCAGGGAAAAGGAAAACTTTCCTCTCTTGCGTCATCTGGTCCTTCCAGCTGTTGCTCAGCAGTGTTTGATCCAGGAATCTTGTCCAACATGGAATTGTGAAAGGCAGGACACAGATGGTTGGTTCCGATAGCATTACTTCAGGCACAGCCTTTGCTTGAAGTTAGTAGCCCTGTTCAAAAGGCGGTGACTCACTAAGGAAGCAGTTTCCTTACTGTGTTAGGGAAGTAACATAACCATCACTTACAGGGAGAGCATGAACCATGTGTCTGGGCCATGTCAGATTTGAGCAGCAAGCACATAAATGCCTACCAGTACAGGACCTGAGAAGTGGGACTGTCTCCTGTTGCCAGCTGGTGATGGATGGCTGAGAACAGCTTCTCACTCACCCATCCTCCTTCCAAGTCCTAGGACACTGAAACAATCCGCCTTTACTGCTGGTGCTACAGGTGCACCAGAGGGCGAATGGGTGCAGTTGTTCTTCTCAAGAACAGGGGCTTCAGAATTGCTATAGGAAGGGATTTAGGGTGGTACGCCATGGAAAGACTGGGGTGGGGGCGTTGGGAGTGCCAAGAAATTTAAAGCTGCATTTGCAAAATAAACACACTTTTTACTCATGAAAGTGAAAGTGTTAGTCGCTCAGTCATGTCTGACTCTTTGTGACCCCGTGGACTATAGTCCACCAGGCTCCTCTGTTCATGGAATTCTCCAGGCAAGAATAGTGTAGTGGGTTGCCATTGCCTTTTCTGTAGTATCTTCTTGACCCAGGGCTCAAACTCAGGTCTTCTGCTTTACACGTGGATTCTTTACCTTCTGAGCCACCAGGGAAGCCCCTTAGTTTTTACTCATATCACATGCTTATTTAGGGTGGTTTGGTAAGTGAAATGAAAGTTGGTCAGTCGTGTCCGACTCTTTGTGACCCCCATGGACTATACAGTCCATGGAATTCTCCAGGCCACTCCAGGAGTGGGTAGCTGTTCCCTTCTCCAGGGGATCTTCCCAACTCAGGGATCGAACCCAGGTCTCCCACACTGCAGGCGGATTCTTTACCACTGAGCCGCCAGGGAAGCCCGAGGCCTCTGTAGAACAGGTGAAAAAAGAAGACCAAAAGCAGCCTCTTTCTGAGAGATTCCTGGTCCTGGAATTCCAGGTCTCCTCCACCTTTCAGTTCCCTGATGAGCCCTGCCTTCTGGCTCTAAGACAATGATGCCCTCTTGTTTTCCCAGCTACGATTTGAAAGCTGGTTTGAGCTTGGTTTCTTTGGTGGTTGAGTGTAAAGAACCCACCTGCCAATGCAGGAGATGCAGATTTGATCCCTGGGCCGGAAGATCCCCTGGAGAAAGAAATGGCAACCCATTCCAGTATTCTTGCCTGGAAAACCCCACGGACAGAGGAGCCTGGTGGGCTACAGTCCACAGGGTTGCAAAGGAGTTGAAGTGACTAAACAACAACAACAACAAGCTTAGTTTACTACAGTCAGATGAATGGGCAAATGTACTGGTTCTTATTTTCTGGGCTGTGATAGGAAACATTCTTAGTTTCTGTGTTAGTGAGATAGGGCACTTATCACAAGGCCAGTACTATTTCTCTTGTATTTTTTTGCAAGTCATGTGTATATGTTTGTTAGTTGCTCAGTCGTGTCTAACTCTTTGCGACCCCATGGATTTTAGCTCACCAGACTCCTCTGTCCGTGGAATTCTCCAGCCCAGAATACTGGAGAGGTTTGCCATTCCTTTCTCCAGGGAAGCTTCCCAACCCCAGGATCGAACCCAGGTCTCCCACATGTGGGCAGATTCTTTACCATCTG